AAAAAAATATCCGGGCATGCTCAGGCTTGGAAGGATGGCCTACACTGACCCCAAGAAAAGGTAGTGGAGTGTTATATATCTTGAAAAAACTTTATAACATTTGAATTGATATATTATATTATAAGAAAAAATATTAGATATTTTAAAAGATTTATTGTTTTTTTTTAATATTTTAATTTATACAATTTTTTAAATGATTTTTTCACTAAAATTAGATATTCATAAAAAAAATTGAGTGAATTTTAGGGATGCATGTTGTTAATCTCCCAAAATAAAAACAAATACATAGAAAAGATAAAAATAAATTTGGTTAAAAAGACAAAAATAAAAATATAAAATTAAATATATTTTTAGAATAATTATAAGTAAGTTTCTATATTTTAAAAAAATGCACATGGATTTGGCTTAATTACAAAGTTCTTGGGTTAAAAAAAAAAATAACAGTACAAAAGAAAATATAAATTTATATTTTAAAATTTTAAATATTAATTAATTAATTTTATTAAAAAAAATTATAATTAATACTCCGAAGCTCACTTTTTGTTGTAGGGTACCTACTACTCGTCCGATGAATTGTATAGTGATAAAGGGATCTTCCCAGATAATTGGAAGGAAGCGTCATCACTTTGATTTTTGTTTCCTTTTCCATTCGTTAAACGTCTTATTCTCTTCTTCTCTACAATTCTTTGCTAACAACACTCCTTTGACGAATTAAAGTGAGGCTCTTGACCTAAAACCTTAATCAAGGATTATCAATTTGGCTTCAATAGTTAAGAAGCATATTTAGAGTTTATTTGTTTTGTGTTTTAAAATATTTTTGAAAAAAATTGAAATTTTTTTAATTTTTTATTAATTTCAAATTAATATATTTTTAATATTTTTAATTTATTTTGATGTTCTGATATCAAAAATAATTTTTTAAAAAATATTATTAACATATATTTTAAAACAAAAAAATTATTTAAAAAACAATTATAACTACACTGGAAAACTTTATCCTAAAGTTTTTTTTATTGGAGGAAAAAATAAACTCTTACATGTGGTGATGCAATATTTCAACTGTCCTTCATTCATTTGGTCTTTTACGCTTTGAAAATAAATGAAAATTGAAGAAGTCTTCAAATATTTGTGACAAATTAAACCTACCCCCTGCGACTGCGAGCCCTAGCAAGTTGAAACGCTACTTAACAATTAAGAGGGAGTCTTCCAAAATCTGATGACGTTTTTCCGCAAAGCCGAACCCATTTAATGGGCAGGCTTGCATGTGGAATGAATTTCCCAAAATCTTCATGTTCATACTCATAAAGAGACAATAAGCTATAATAATAATAATAATAATAATAATAATAATAATCAAGCATGGAAGCATGAGGCTTGACTTAGCATCGATCCTTAATCCATTGACACATTCCATTTTTGTGACACTATTCAATTACCAATGTCTGGATCAATGTTTGAAATCCAGAAAATTATTTCAACAATAGACGAATTGCACTGGCAATGATCATAAGTCAAGTCAAGATGATATTTTGAAATCCATCAATTGGCAAAATGAGCTGAAGAGGGACTTAATCACATGGAAAGGTTGGGAACTCAATTGCATCAATGGAGAGCCTAATTGAACAAAACAATGACAATTTAGGACTAAATTAAAGAAATATATTGAGTATTGAGACAAACTTGTAAAATAATTAAGTTTAGAAATTTAATTAAAAGTTTAATTTAGCTGAAATGCTACATTCGGTCCCCTATCCGAGCAATAGATCCATTCGGAGCCACAACAAAGATAGTCGGATGTTTGCTTTCCTTTATTGTCATATTCGGAACTCTGCCTTGCCAACACTTGATAGCCTTTTTCCCTTGCATTGTTATATTTTGTCCCACTTAGAATTGCGGGTTCTTCGTTAAAATTTAACTATTTTTGTTGAAGATTATTTTTTTTATAATTTTGGATTGTTTGAATGTATTGAAGTAAAAAATAAATTTTAAAAAATAAAAAATATTAATTTAATATATTTCTAAGTAAAAAATATTTTGAAAAGTAACTACTATAATGCTCTCAAACACCTCCTTCAAAGCTGTTTGTTTTCGCATTTTAAAATTGTTCTTAAAAAAATTAATTTTTTTTATTTTAAATAATTTATGTTTTCAGATCATTCACTACAAGATTTCACAGTTTTACCGACGGACAATTTTTATCAGTGTGTGATTAGAAGTTCGTCAGTGATTTTTTTATCGATGTCATCACCGACGGATTATGTCCGTCGGGTTACCTTTTGTTGGTGATTCAACATTCCGTTACTATATTGGTCGGCAAAACAAAAAATCCATTTGCCAATGGTTTTACAAATGGAATATGCGCAAAAAAAAAAGATTCCCGCTTGAATATACCGACGGATTTGTATTCCGTCGGTGATATATTGATTTACCGATGGAATATATCCGTCTATAAATTCGTCGGTCAGTGTGTCAGCTACTGTCAAATGCCGACGGAGTAATTCAATCAGCAATTCGGTCGGTGAGTATTTAAAATACCAACCGAATGAATCCGTTGATAAAATCCTTGGTAATTGTTTTTTTCTAAATCTGTTTTTAAAAAATTATTTAGAATATATAATATAAAACTATATAAATTAATTGTAATACAAACCAATTATGCAAATAAAATTTATATTAAACAAAAAAAACAAAGTTAAATAATATTCATTACAAACTGAATATGTTTCAAAAAAAAATATTAAATGAAGTTTTAAAGGTAAATAATGTTTATTACAAATTAATATAAAGGTGGAGCTGGAGGAGGAGTAGGAGATCCTGGAGGAGGCTGGTGGTTATATGGCCAAAAAGGATTAGACACATATGTTCCACTATTTGTCATGTTCATAACCATTTCACGAAGCTGTTCATAAGCTATTTTTTGTTGTTCATACTCCATTTTTTGTTGTGCTTGAAACGCTTTGATTTGCTCAGACTCCGCTCTTTGTTGTGCATGAGACATGTTGAGTTGTGCGTACTCCACTAATAGGTGGTCGTATTTCTCGGTGAGCTAAGCCGTGTGTTGCTGCAAGGCCTCGAACTCCTTAGATTGGGAGCTCGATATTGATTGGGAGCTCCCAACGGTTGAAACACTACGGGTCGATCGCAAGTTGTCGGCCATAGTGTTGGAGAGCCCGTAAACCCGATTTTTATCGGGTCCACCTAAGGAGCCAACCTCCATCCACAAATCCAGATCTAATTCCAGATGGTTCAAAATATCGTCCCCTTATCTCTCCCTTAACCGATTATTATAGATCTCCTGAAAATAAAAAATAAAAAAGTAATCATCATATTCAATTCAATAAACATAATAACTTACAAAGTGAAATGGTTGAACAAACATACCACGAAATGTTGAGCACGATTATCAACGAACTATTGCACCCCCTTCTAGTGGTCTTAACTTCGCACGTGCATCTCCACAAACAGCTCCATCGAGCTCGGCTCATGTCCAAGAGACGCAGCCTATAATGAAAAAAGATATATTAACAACAACTGAATTTAACAATATATTTTATTTAAATTAATCTTACCATCCGTTTCGCATGTGCAGCAAACAGAATGGAGCCGCTAGTGTGCGTTGTCACCCCGCCATGAATTGGCCGATTCCAGTTGCCAGCACCGGACCGTGAACGTCGTGCGAACCGCTCAAACATCACGTGCTCAATATAGTGCGGCCATATATCTTTCGTGATGTATATCAGTTTGAAATCCCTCCAAACCACAACATCATTCCAGCCTTGTAAACCCCTATCCCTCGTGGATTTTTTTGCTTTTTTTTGTGCTTCATACCAAAAATCACGTAACCTACTTCACGCAATCAAAAATTACATTTTAAAATATAAATTTTTATTTAAAAAAAATCTTGTATTGTTTTTGATCTTACCTAGTTGCCTCGTGATTTTCCCACACCCTCCTCACAACAGTGTTATGCTCACTGTCCCAGCAGAATTTATACTGTGTATAAATGAACAAGTTTAAATAAAAATAATAATTTATTTATAATTATATTAATAAGCTGAAAATTATAAATTAATACCGACCTCAAACCTGTTAAACCATGCATTGATTTGAGGCATCCATTCAGGATGCTTAGATATCTGACTCCATTGAAACAATGGAATCTCCATCGATGATTAAAACGCCGATGATATTACTCGGGCAGCTTCAATGTTTGTGAACCTGAAAATAAATGAAATAAATTCAATAGTGATTATTTCATAAATTATGTTGTAATTTAAAAAAAAAACTAAAACCTTAACAAACTTACAT